TACAGAGAGAACTTTTTATGATTATATAAAACTACCGGAACCTTAACATTATGTAGGTTTTATTGTAAAGCTGTAAAAATCATCCACTGTTACAGCTGCCTTAAAACATATGAATTAGGCATTTCAGTAACCTTTAAGATGTGTTATTCTTTGTCATATTACTGAATCATAAGATAGGTCTGGTTACCTCTAAGAGGTTTAAATTTCCAATCTATTAAAGTAATACCAGCAATCTGTTATTTCTAGGCCATTGAGGAAAGGTTAAAATGAAAATTGGACTTTGGGGAGTTCCTCCTATTCTAAGTGCAGGATGAAAACATCTCAGCAGCAGAAGGCAAAGTCAGGGTCTCAGTAAGAAGCAGTTATCAAGGGAAACGACTGGTGATAACTTTATTGATTACAGCAGCTTGAGAAATTTAAGATTTGCCACTGTCTAGAATTACTGTGGTCAGACAGCTTTATTAAAAAGGTATTTTTCATTAGAAGTCAGGTGAAAGAAAATTGTAATATGTTTTCAAAAGCACAGCTCATCTAAAATGGTTTAATGATGATATGGATTAAATGCATTCCACGGGTGGAATAAATTATTGGCAAACATTTTAAAGAACTAAAGGCAAGTAAAACCAGCCCTTGTCATGTCATTACAAATGCAGAGAAGTATAGCTCGTTCAGGAGACAGATTAAAATGTAACGCAGTGCATTACTAAGGAACTCATTGAACCGCATATACTGAGTTTTTATTATTATGTATGACAAACCAAAACAACCTAGAAATCCTTCTCAAAAAGAACATTAAAGTTGCAAGATCAAGCACTCAAAAGTTAGGAAAATATGTCAGAATTAAGGTAGTTTGCCCTGCTGTAATTTGTTCCTCCTACGCATGTGCATCATGATCCAGGTTTTAACTCCAGTAGCATGGACTATTTTTTCCACAGTCAAAAGCACGGAGTGACTGCAGCCGTTATGCAGTGGTGTCTGCTGCACTCCTCCTTGGTTAGGCACATACTCCCTTCATCTCGAATCTCTCTGAATACAAAAAATTACACCTACAGACTAGACATGACTACAATGAATTGATGGCATTTAACACTAGAAACTATACAGAAAAAAAATCTGCGTCAAAATATAAAGTTAGTCACTAGTAGCACTATGAATATCTCGCAAATAGCAGAGAGTGAATAAATAGTAGTCTCTGCTGGGGACTATTACTGCTTTTCCATACCTAAACCAAATCTTCCTGAAGTCGATGGGAACCACTTGCCGAAGCTCACCCTAAGGGACCATTTTTGCAAGCTTGGTGATGCATTATATCAAATTTTGCTCCCTGGAGCAAAGTGTTTGAAAACAGGACTTCTGGTGTCCTGTCACATCCCTGTGACGATACCCACCCATGCTGCCAGGAGCTGACATGGTCTCAGCACACCACGAGCTGGGCAAAACAGCATCTGAGGACAACCGCACCATCCTGCCTATGCAAAAGGGCAAGCAATGCCACTACACAGGGCCACAAGGATAAAAAACAAACCCAAAAAACTCCTCTTCCCTCCTACTCCTGTGCATCAATCATTTCTGATATAAATGGAAAGGAAACACAAACCTTCATGCATCCGATTCAGACAAACAGTATCCAAGGGCTGAGCTCTGTGGGATTTTTTTTCTTTGTTCTTTTTTCCAGCTACTTTTTCTTCAAATGCCATTCTGTGTCTCAAATGGATTTTTGGGTTTGTTGGTTGGATGAATGGATTGATTAATTGCTGTGGCTATACCTGGGATATTATGTTCAGGCTGAGCTATCGTGTTACTGGGAAGATATCGACAAACTGAAGGGAGTAGAGAAAAGAGCACCGCAGCGGGTTAGGGTGCAGAGGGACCGAATGACAAGGGAAGCTGCTGAGAGCTAAACACACAGTTTTAGGAAGAGACAACTACTGTAATGATAACAAATCTGGGGGTAACTAGAGAGAAAATATCCAGGAAGGCAAGCAATTATTTTGGTTGTTACCTGGAGTAAAACTAGAAAGGAGAAGATGCAGTTTAGAATGGAAGGATCCCGATGAATCTCAGAAAAAGCTGCCTGCCCACGAGACCTACTTGGCTGTGAACACTGTCCCTAGGGTACTTACAGAAGCCCAGTTGTTTGGCTCACTGAAAACTACTCTGGACAAAACATTAATAAACGTGAAGCAGGGAACACTCCTGCACGGGGAAGGAGATGGATTAGATGGCCTACTAGGTCTTTTCCATCTCCCCACTCTATAATAAAGTAAAACCCAAGTGCATACTGAATTACAGGGTCATAATTTCATCTCCAGGCTCTAGGGACCTACCAGCCACCCAAACTTCACTCCCGTTGTTTATAATGTCACCAAAAGCCTCTGATGGAATTATTACGTTGTAATTCACTGCTGTCTGTGAGTCATCTCATACTCATCCTTATGTCCTGTGTGACATAACAACAAATCAATAAAAAGGATCTGGGCAGAACTACAGAGAGGGGAAAAAATGGGCTGCACTAAGTAAGCAGGGAGCATCACTCATTCAGCGTGTTTCTGGAAAGCGTGATGAATCCAATAACACGGGAGGAGGTTTTGGGTCAGTCAGTGCTTCCCGTTCACCTAAATTAGAAAATATTTTACTTCTGACTCTCCCTTTTACTAAAAAAAGGTAGTCAGTGTGACAACAAAGGAAATAAATAACATTTTGGCTGCAATTCCACCATGCTGCAGCCTCCAGTCACCAAGTGGGCTGCCAGGCATTGCGGCAGCTCTCATCTTGGGAGGCACAACATCTTCCATAATTCCTTGGGAAAGCTAACTTCTATTTTTTTGTATTGTTTTCTTTAGCCTCCAAATAAAGGAATTTCACCACAGAAGTGCATGTTCTTATGGTTTGGGAGGAAGATGAATAAGAAAGCACAACGCAACAGTACAAGTAGAAGGAGAAACTGCAGTACAGAATGGAGGGATGGACGGAAGACTCTAAATTGGGTAGAGGTATGGATGGCACAAGGCAGAGCAAAGAGAGACAGACAGGAATGAAAAGGGAAATAGCAGCCAGTGAAAAAGAACCCTCAAAAAAATCAGAGAAAATAATGTCATGCCTTTCAGGAGGGGAACAAGTACGCACAGGGCAGAAGAAATTCAACAGGGCCCCATTTGATAGCATTTACCCTCTTGGCTGTCAGTCCTCTTTTGTCTACTTCACATTATTTGACAGAATAGGTGAACATGGGGCTTTTTCTCTCTGAAACATTTTTTCAAAAACTTTTTTTTTTTTTTAATAATTCACAGGAAGATCCTGAATATAAATATTTCTTCGCACTATATATAACACACTGGGTCTGGAAAAAAATATTTGATATCCACCCGAAGTTTACCATCTCTTCCTGGCCACATTCCCTTCAACCTCTTCTGTAACTTTCCATGGAAGACAAGAAACCAAAAACAAACAAAAGCATCACTGGGCATAACTACATGGCACAGCCAGTGGTCACAGTATCAGAAACCTTACCTGCTGTGGTGGAACTCCCATTTCTGCCAAGGCTGACTCAAAAAACATTTTTGCTGGTTTTCCCACTACCTCAGCTTGAACATCACAAGCATACTGGGAAAAAAGAAGAGAGAAAAACACACAAAAAATGCTGATCAGAAAAGGATTTCTTCAACTCCGTAACTCTAGTTAATTGTATAAAAAGTATGTGATTACAGATTTTTGCTCTTAAATAACACAATGGATTAGCAGGTGAAGGTGAATATCGGAGAATTTGGATAACAGAAATGTTTAATGCTCTCTGGCAGAAAAGAAAGTCCTCCTGAAACATCTCAAGTTACAAACCTGTTACATTCTCCATCATGAGAGCAGACTTCAGACTCAGTCCCAGTATCGCTCATTTTTGTAAGAGCATCACTTTTAAAGAAATAGCAAACATCCTTCATATGAAATGATCAAAGTACTGGAGGGCCTTAAAAGATGTAGAGGGTTTCTTCAACCACCTGGCATATTTTTAATGATTCAAGTGACCAGCCAGATTTGAAAAGTTTTATTCTCCTGCAACTAAATATCAGTACTATGCTGAAAAAAGTGTTTCTAGATTGTTCCTAGACAACTAGAAGCCTGAACTTACCAGGGAGGCAGAAACTCTCCTCAAAACTCACATAGATACGAATGAATGTGCTGCAAGCATGCATTACATCTACGATCTTCTGTGCTTGTATACTGCCCTACTTTGCTTCATTTTCTGCATTTACTATGTATTTTTTTTAATCTCTCTGCAAGCCTATAAAAGGGAGAATAATGATTCTCTCCTTCTCTCACCCTTAGGTTGGCTTATCTATTGGGTTCCAGTTCTGCACAGACTTAATCAGGCTTAAAAACAGGATTGCACTTCAGTATCTTGCTGAATAAGGGCCTTGCTGTAAACAGTTAAGGGCAAGGGTTGTGTTAACAATGCTACACCAAACATAAAACGGGTACCTTGCAGACAATATTCCATGTTTTTCTTTTCTGACTCCTTCTTTCTAGGGCCTCACTTCCAATAAAGGTACCACAATGGTAAAAGTTCACGTTTTCAATAAAATTTAAAAAATGAATGAAGCCAGGAAACAAATGAATCCACCCGTCTTTAGAATGCAGCAGACGAGTTTCAATCTGTGGAAACTTCCTCCACCAAGGTGAGTAATTACAGAAGATGACCCATATTTATACCAGTTACTCTTTTAACAAGGTGCACAGAGCGAGTAAGCATAATGCAAGCTATAAAATACCTCTAATGCCTTCATATATGCTCCAACATCAAGTTTCAGACCATCGGTTTCTTTATAGTAGCGTCTGGAAATGAAAGTGATAAAGTTCCAATGAAATGAAAATGTTGGCAGTTAAATACAAAGAAACCACATTTTATTATTTCTGTGCCTATATAGATGTCCATATGGCTGCAACAAAAAGTCAAGTCATCAGAAACTCTGGAGCCTTAATTTAACACCAGGAATTAAGTAAAGGACAGGCTCAGTACCATGCAACGCTTGGGGAAGAGCTCTCAGATCAGATGTCCATCTGGCATCTGGGACAACTCCACTGGTTCAAAGGGATTTCAACTAGCTCATATCAAGGATGAACTTGGCCTGTATTTTATTGCACAGAGCACCAGCTGCTCACAAAGGACAGCAGTTACATCGCTCTTCCTTTAATCAGCGACAGAGACCCCTTGGCAGACACAAGATGAGGGCTGGCACCAACCAGCAGCTCTAACACCTTCTTCAATACATCTGGAAGGGGACCCCAAACAGTTGACCATCATTGCTTGCCACCAGCCTCCCACATGAGGAAAGCCAGGGCACTGTTTATTGGGACTAAGAAAGCCCTCCAAGCGAAATTTTGTTCCTTCTAAGAATGCTCCTATTGCCATGAGGCTCATAAAATTAGTTAGTATCTTTACGGTGTTGTTCTGCAACAGCAATTCACAGTAACGCAGGTCTTCCAAGCTCTCCTGATGAGAGCAAAGACAGGTTTCTATACAACAGGAAAAAAAGGTAGGATGAGCAGTCAGTTAAGATTTTATGCCTTATCCTTCTGCCATTTTCGATTATTCAGCACAGCCTCCCTTTAAAATGACCACTTGACCTTTGCTAGAACAGCCATTAACCTTCTATAGTCTAGCGTAAACAGCTTAATTTTCCGACAGTGGCATGACAGAAGAAATTACAAAGCCAATTCCCACTCTCAGCCCAAAACAGATGCTAAATGTAAATCATTCCATTTTCAGGAGGAGGGCATTCTGCTTCAGTGACTCTGACACTTTCGTTTTCTATGGAATGAACTAAAACTTCAACCAAAATCAACCTACTCGCCCAAGGTAGGCACCTTGTTAAGGTCCACCCAATTACGCTGATTCTGCACGTTAAAAACAAAGCTGGCTTGTGGCTGGTTTTTGTATATAGCCCTTTGCGTCAGAGAGGCTTCTCTAGTTAGGTGAGCAATTCATCCCATTTATAATCTCCCTTCTTCGAGTCAGAGAACTTACCTACCAGGATAACTCATTCAGAACTCACGTTCACATGACCTAAATGATCAATCGTTAAAAAAAAAAATATGCTCATGGTGAAAACTGAGCTCAGAATATCCAAAAATCTCTATTTTAGAATAAAAAATAACATTTCGAAAAATAACAGCAGGTCTGTTTTAGAGCTGCCTACATCAATGAATGACCAAATAAATAAATAAATACTTTTATATGCACAGGTACAAAGGCATTTTTGCATCGATCACGTTGCAAATCTTCAACAAAGGCTGATTCTATATTTCATTTTGGAAGATGATATTACACAACACAAAACCTGGTTATTTTACGTACATTAGCCATTCTGCTGTTGGCTCAACATTTTCTCCTTATCCTTCTAACTGAGAAACAGTAAGGATTTTTCACCCGTGTTGTAGGATCAGAGCGTGAGTGTCAGGTAAGGCAAAACAATGGATTTAACTGCTCCTTCCCGCTGATAAGTTCTACCCAGCTGGATCAATAACCCGCAAACTAAGAAGGGTTTTGATGCCCATTACGGTCTATTGAACCACTGAAAGAAGTTGTCACTACAGTTTCCTGAAGCTAAACATGCATAGTCTTTTTTAAGCCCATACAGATATTGCACAACAGACAAGAATAACTCCTTCAAGGCTGTTGGGATTTGTCATTATTCAGCGCTGGCATTAATAACTTCCTGTTTAAAATCTCAGAATACATCTAACTGAACTGTTTTTAGGAAAACATTCAAATTCCCTGACTGGATCTTCCCTGCATGTGAAAGCAGAAGGTCAAAATTTACTTTTCATGTTCAGAGAATAATTAAAAATGTCTTTCGATATTCAAACTATTAAAACAATTGATCTGTCACTTCAAAAGCACAGTTGTGTTTGCAGGTCTTCGCCATACACACCAGCCCAGGAATTTCTCAGTATATCCTTGGGCTCTCCCCTTAGGTCTTCTCAACCACCACACTTCACTCAGAACCAGAGGAACATCTACCCCCACCTCCAACATAGTTCGGGTGGACTTTGTGCATTGCAGCTACTTTCATAAATTGGTAGGGTTTCTATATCAGCAAATAAAAACTCTCCTGGCTTCTTATTCCTCATGTATAGCAATTCTCAAGCCACCAGCATGAAGGTGCTCCCTTATGTACGACATTTTCATACATACGAGTCAACCTGCAGAGATCCCAACGCCAACTTTCAGAGACAGCATCTTTAAGTACCACTCAAATAGCAAGGAGTCATGTACATCACGCAGGCCGTTAGCCACATCCAGTATCACATCTCAACCACTACAAACGTGGGCAAGATTCGAACCTGGAAGAAGAAACCTGGCTGACTGTTGGCTGAAACAGAACTTTTAGACCACCTGATCCTCCTCACCATTAGTAACTTCAGGATGCTGGAAGATCAAACTGCATCAGAAATCCACACCAACAGCCCTTTATCCAAGCACGGCCTGTTAGATTTTTTATTTGTTTGGGGTTTCTTTCACTATTAAAAATCATTTCTTTTCAGTTCAGACAGGAACATGTGGCTACAGGCAGCAGTTAAACCAACAGTTCTCATCTCTGAGATCTTGCAGGAACGACGACAAAAAGACAAGCAGTGCCTATAATCCTACCGGCCTCTTGCAATATTCATTCACTTGGGGGTCACACATCAAAATCCAAACTCTCCATGATTTCTGTGGGTTTTTTAAGAGGCTTTCAGACTTGCTCTTAAAGCAACAAAAATCCTTTTCCTAGTTGCTTACAAAACTACAGCTATTTAATCCTCCCACTGCCACCTGCAAACGCGTGGATTGTTTCATCAAGGTTTAGCTCACTCTTGAATGCTGAATTTGAAGGGCTGGAGGCTGGCATTTGCTGTGCTTATACATCAGGGCATCTCCAGGTTCTCTAAAGGCTGCTACAATTCCTCCTCAGAAGAGCAGCTCTCTCTCTCACCCTCTAGCACTCGATGAAACACATCCACACAACTGCTCACTCTGCACTGTCTACAGAAAAAAGACTGCCGACAGCTGAAATTCAAGAGATGCCTCACCCAGTGCTGTAGCAGCACAGAGACCCTACTGATGAGTATTTTCAAAGTCAACTGGAGGATTCGGCATGGCAAGTTCAGCGACTTCCAGTGCCCTTTCCAATCCTGCATCAGCACAGGGCTGCGCTGTGGTTCATGGGGAGCATCCATATCACCTCCTTTTAGAGACCTATTTCGGTGTAATCACCTCAGTCTTCCCTTACACCCCTGGAAAGACTGCAAGTAAGTGACTCAGGACAGGAGGACAGGCTAGGTGACCGAATTACCCATTGAGGATCCTTCACTAACAGATACCTGAGCAGATCAGCCTCCCAGTTGAGACACACAGATTAACTGCTTAAAAGTTGGTAGTGTGAATGCCCACACTGATAGCTGGCCTCCATTAAGTACAAAGATACTGGGCAATATTAAAAAATGTAGAGACTAAAGGAAGAAACAAACAGGGCTTAACTCACCCTCTTCCAAGCGAGATCAAAACAGGCTTCTCCATCCCAATCAGAACTCGGAAAGCTTCATTAAGGTTGGCATAGGTGAAGTTTTCTGCTGCATCTCCGATAACCACGCAGTTTGGGTTTGCTTTATCAATCTCAGCAAATTCAGGGACCAGATCTGCAGAAGGAGGAAAAAAAAAAAAAAAAAAAAAATAAAATCCACAAATCCCTTATCATTTCAGATCCCATTGGAACTGATGGTTTTCCCCAGATTTGTGTTTCCCTTCATTCATTCCCCAACACATTAAAAAAAAAAAAAAAAAAATCAAAGTCTGAATCAGCTGTTCTTCAGATCCTTTCTATTCCTGCCCAGATCCTGCTATTCACCTGTCCTACAACAAAGGGCAAAATAAACCACCTCCTACCCTTGCCTTAGCTCCCACCACCCACGTCTCCGTTATATCTCAGCTCGTTACGTCCAGGCACCTAGACCCGAGGCAAACTCTTGGGTAGTTGAATGAAAATGTCTAATAGCAAGGGCAGGATCCACCTCCTTTCTCCGTACCCACACTCTACAGAAAAAAAAACACTTTAAACTTAAAACCTCTGCCATGATAACAAAGACGATGTAATGCCCTGCACGAGACCTCACCTATCTCCTGGTCTCTGTGGTTAAGCAGCAGACTCCTCTGTGCACTTGCTGACCCCCCAGCACAACTCTGTGCCTTCACTGTACCACTGCCATAATTGAGACCTCGCTCAGGCCAGACCACTAAGGCTTATTCCAGAGTCTCAGGACTAAGGAAAAAGCTTTTCCCTGTAGGAAAACAACAGCTGGGAGCTCTTCCCCCCACAAGCTATGGGAATTCACTGCTCTATTGCAAAAGCCCGCATCTCTCTGGGGTGTTCCCCTACGTGTCCCAGCATCTGCTGCAGCATGATCCCACCGTTGTGCACGAGCAAGTGCGGCCTCAGGCTGCGCTCCTTCAAAATGCGGCAGGCTGCTGGCGCTGGGGCAGTGACTTCGGCCACGGAGATGTCAAAGCCCATGCCCTGGAGCTTCTTCACGAACTTCTCCCTGGTCGCTTGGGTTTCGTTAGTGCAGAACCGCAGCTTCAGACCAGATGCTTTGATCCTGTGGAGTAAAAGTGGCAGAAGGGTTAATCGGACATAGAAAAGGAGCTAAGAGTATCAGCTTTGCTGTCCCATGCCTAACTTGGATAATTACAATAAAAATGCAAAGAGGAAATGCCAGAACAGGAGCAGCATCCCTTACCATGACCAAGACATGCCTAAAATACATTGATTCTGGGCGCTACAGCCACAGTTTTCATGTGCAGGGCCCTTGCCATAGCATGTAACCGCCCTTCTGGAGCGGAGAGCTAAGCTAAACACAGCAGCACAGGCAATGCCCACCATCCCCAGGATACCACAGTCTGTCAGGCACAGGCTCCCTCCACACACCAAAGACCCCCAAATCCAGCTCCTTTTCTTTAAACCAGTCCACGGATATGGACACAGATGAACTGAAGGCACTGCACAGCCGTGAGCACAGCACCTGGTGTGCTACCGCTGACTATTACCATTTTAACTTGGATTTTCACCTTTCCACTTACTGATCACCTGCTGCAGTGATCTGCTGGAGGTAAGAGCAAGGCTTTGCACTTCTGCAGACTCCAGGTAAGAGGCCAGCTAGTTGAAATGATGCTTACATCAACACTGGGGGGGCTTCAGCTACATTTATCACTTAATCTCTCATAAAACACCTGTGCTGTTACTTGGTGGGTAATCCTGAAAAATACAGTACTTCAACTGATTCATTAATAAATGTTTACAGGTAAATGGCTTCTCAAGGGAAGAAAACATGGCCCCAAGTGCCCAGAGCCAAGGACGTGGCTCCTGCGGAGCATACTCTGCAACCTCATGCAAGTCCTCTGCCTCTGAGCGGCTTTGTTTCCCGACCCAAGCTGCGGTGACCTACTGGGGATGCCACCAAAAGGCCTCTTCTCCAAAGATGAGTTGTCAGCCTTTTGGAGAACCAACGTATTTCAAAGTGGCCATAGAAAATCAGAAGCATTGAAAATGTATCACAATTTTTTTTTCAAATATTTGCCAAGGGGACTGTCACTCAGCTCCTCAAATATATTAAAATGCCAAACTTTTGTCAGTTTTAGTGTGAATTTGTACCTCATTATCTTTGAGGGCCTGAGCTAATAGGGGTTTAGATACCTAGGTAAGTTAGGGGCTAGGCTTATAAATTGTTAAAATATTATTAAAATATTATTACTTTTCTTTGTGTTAGGATGAAAAAGGACTTTTCTACTAGGAAAGCCCCTGCACCGATTCTCAAGACAGTAAGACATCATGGGTTCCTTTTCTAGGGAAGACGATGCCAATCGGTTGGTGCAAACACCGAAACCACCTCGAGGTAACGCATCTGATGACGAACTTTCCATAAAGGATTCTTTGGTCCTGACCCAGAGAGCCCCTTCCGCTCATTAAAACTGCACGCCAGTGTCTTCTTCAATAACGCAGGTGATTCATTTCTTTCTTATTATTTGTCTTTCCTAATCATAGGTATGTGAATTATCAATTACACTTAGTGGTTAATTGCCCTTCATAAAGATAGCTTTTCTATTTTAAATTAGGCAGTTAATATATTGTAACTAATAGCATCCACTTGTACATTATAAATATATCTTCATTGATTGGAGCAGTGAATGTGAGATTCACTCACAAGTTAATGAAGCAATTGAGTGAAGAAGTGCAGGGTGTACCCAGGGAATAATTATTGTTAATGAATTATGATGTGACCTTCTCAGAACAATGAACAATTGGTGTGACAGTGGGATGACAGTATTCCACATCTGTTATTCGAAACACGGTTTCAGCTGTAGTTAAAAAACAATGCAGTGTAATTTGGATACATAACAAACTTTAGAGTGTGCTGTGGTTAAAAAAATCTTATTCTAAATGCAAAGCCTATCTGCACACTCATAGGAAAAAAATCCCGTGATTCACAAGTGCCTGGAAGCAGACATTTCTTGAATAAGAATCTCTTCCTTCTCTTTTAAAGGTCAGCAAAATGAATCCAGAACAACACTAATCGTCTGCTTGCACAAAGAAGTGTGGCCACACAGGTCAGCTTGGTGAAAGCAGAGATTTAGTTTTCCTATACTACAAATTTAACTTCTTTCTCAGAATTGTAGACAAAAAACAGAGCTAAACTTCTGAAAGGCATGACCAAAGTGGAAGCAGTCTGGGCACATCCTGGACCGCTTCATGCCTTCGTGGCCACCAGCAATTACCACCTCAACAAACAAGCTCAATAAATATGCTGGAACACTAAACAAAAGTAAAATAATCAAGAACTCCAGAGAAGACTTATTTCTACAAAAATACCTTTTCAATGAAAAGCCATCTTTTCCTTCAAAGTTAGCATCTCCAAAAAGACCCTCTGCTAGCTCTCCACCAAATCCTTGTACGATACAGTCACACTCACTGGTACGTGCATGATTATACACACACCGGGACGAATCCATCCCGATGCCCAGCACGGGGACCGTGAGCAGAGCCTGCAGTCCAGCACACATCGGCAAAGCATTGACTCAGAGCTTAAATAATCAGTGGAGCTTTTAACAACAGTTCTCCACCGGGGAAAATCCTGGCTCCACTCGAGTTCACAGCAAAATTCTCCTCCAGTTTTCATGGTCAGGTTTGGCACAGGGAGGAACTAAAAGGGACGAGTCGAAGGTCTCCGTCTGACGGAGGCAAGATGCTTCGCACAGCGAGTCAACACTGCGCTGGGGGCACTGCTGCTACGCTGGCCAGCTTAATGGGAAACCTCGAGCTACTGAGCTGACCCAGCCACCAGTGTTCACATTTTAAGAAGCACGTGCAGAGCAAGTTACTGCAATTTCTAGCACCAGTAAGTGTGGGGATGTTAGGAGAAGAATAAAGAACAAACTTTGTAATGTGATGCCTTATAAGATAAAGAGCAAGGGATTAGATACCTGCAAGTACAGAAGAATGAGGCAACAGCAGATGAAATACACAACACACATTTTATCAAGATCTCCAGCGTATTACAGATTTATCAGCATCTCTATTACAGAAGCGCAGGCACACCCAGGAAACCCAGTCAATCAGGGCTTCAGCTGACTTCCATACATTGCGGCCGTGATAAAGATCCCAGTCAGACTGCAGACGGACCAGAAATCAATCCTGATTAGAGCGCAAGCCAAGCACACGGACAGGCAGCACTGCGGGGACTCTGCGTGGTCCAGGCAGCTGCGAACGTCCCGAGGCTGCCTCTCGCTCCCCGTTCAGGGCCGTCAGCAGGCTCACAGTCAGACAAATCCACTCCATTTCCAACATGACCGCTCGCACCACTCCGAATGCCCATGGGCAGGAACGGGGGAACTTGAACTTCACCTGCGTGCCGGGAGCTAGGCACGAAGGGAGAGCAGCTTCTGATGTCAGAAATGGCAAACTCGGCTAAAACCATCTCTGCAGCAGAAGAAACTTCTTGGAGCCCCTCTCAGAAGGGATGGCAGAGCATGCAGGGCAGCAGGCGAGAAGTCCAGTTGCACCCCTCCGGCACAGGCTCTCCTGCCAGCGCCAGCTGGGCTGGCCGAGCAGGCTCCGGCTGCCTGGGGAGCTGCCACGGCACACAGGCACCAAAGCAAAGGAACAAGTGACAGAAGAAACTTCCAAGTCCAAAATTAAAAGCGGACAGATGAGCACCGAACTAACACGCCAACAGGTGGGTAAGGAGACTTTTCCTAAGCCTTACCAGAAGAGGCATTTAAACCCACTCCAGACCGAAACAACAGCTCAGTCGCCCAAACAATCCCTAAATCTAGAACCGGGGCACCCACCTGGCTCCGGGCATGCCATGAGCACAGGTATATGGTAGAGATGGAAATGGGGTTTTTAATTTCAGCCCTGAGCTGCCCCTCACGCTACGCCAGCTCTTTGAACTGACCTTTACCTCGTTCTGCCGGAGCGGGACAC